GCCGAGTTCAAAGGATGATGTACAGACTGGTGACGGCTAGAACGCAAGCTGACTTTGGTTAGAGTCTAAGACTTTTTGTGAGCTACCATAACAAGGCAGTATGGCCCAGTTGGTGTGCCGCAAGGCACTAGGCAGGCCCTCTCTCCCTGGTAGTGAACCGAGCCATAATAGTCATCTCCAATTAAGGGAAATAAATACTTCTTCTTCATCGAGATATTCAGGACATAGTGGAGAGATCGCCTCGTTTGCACGGTTATTAAGGCAATGAAGTTCCACGCGTGGATTGTGAAGCGGCTCGGAGAGTATGGTCGGACCAGCAATGTAGGGGAATCAGATAGTAAACCAACCTCATGCAGAGAATGATTTGTCTCAGTAACGCTGATAATAACCAGGATCCGTTATCTCACATGTTATGTACTCCTGGGGAAAAACGCCCTGTAGGGAGAAGGCTTGGATTTCGAAAGGGAGTCGGACTATAGGCAATTCCTCTACTATTGGCGCAAAAGACTAAGTGAGGCAATATTACAGTATGAGAAACAGGCGAATGGTATGCAGTTGCCCCATCCTTGCCAGTCTTATTTGGACTACTGTTGCTGTGAGACCAAGATGACAAAACCCACATTGGGATTGATTACACTCAGGTATAGGCTTAGACACAGCTAATGGTAGTGCAAGGAGCAACCAGGATCCTGGTTGCTATAAAGATAAAGAGCAAGATGATGGCAATGCCAATTGCAATGAGCACAATGGAGGGAAAGGACATCTGTCCTCATCGCCACTTTCCTCACTATCACTCCCATCAAGCACATTGGCAAAAGATGAGGAGGTGCTGGCAGTATCACTACCATCAGACAACGACCAGGGGCCAGATATACAAGAAGGGACCCTGTCAATTACATGCACCTACGTGACCAGGAACAGGATCTATCTCACATGCACCAAGTCGGACAGGCTTAATCTTGAACACAGCAGCGCAGCTGACACAGAAGTTGTCATGATCTCATCTACCTACATTGCACTTGTGAGCAACAACACTGTAATGATAGCGAGACATGACCCTGAACTCATGATAGTGAGCATTAAGAGGTTCACAGCAATTAAGGCAAGTATCTGGGTCTGTGTGCATGCATGTTTTAGCCTCCTGCTCTACGGATGATACTAATGCACAGAAGTGCTAGTGGGGTATGGTAGTTTGACTCAGGCTCAAATCAACTGTTGTAGGCCATGTGCAAGTCAGACTCAGGGGACACAGTTGCAGTCATGGCCTCAGGGGCCTCTAGCAACATGGCTGAGGTCTGGATATTCAAAACTGATGCACAATGGGGCAATGAGTGGTGCCTAGCCAGCATGCTGCCCTGCCCTATATCTGCAATCTCCAAGAGCATAATAGTTGGTGACTGGTGCCTAGTCATTCTTGCCCTCATTGATGCAAGGCCACACTTTGTGTGCTTGGCCAGCAAAAGTGAGTTCACAACACCAGACTACAAGCATTTGCAGATACCACTGCAACTAGGTAGTAATGGGTGTGATCACTGGGATAACACTGAGCTGTACCCAATATATGGCTCACTAAGCTTGTGTGCCTTGAAAAGCAAGACTCACATACACATCTGGTTAGTATCATCTATAGCATTCTCATCCATCATCATCACAGGCACACATTTACTAACAGGGGTCCCTTGGTGCTTTTACTGAGAAGGGATGTCAAAGGCATGTCCATGACACAGTCTGTCTCCATGGACAAATTCCAGGAAGTGGTGGGATCAGCAGTCACCAATATCTTTGTTGCATTTGAAATTCAAGGCTCCAAGCAGTCAGCAGCATGGCAAGGGCCAACAGTGAGCACAAGAGTGTGCTTTGGCATGTCCACAACCACAGGGGAATGTGTCCATGTAGCAATTGACCAAGGCTTGGCCTACTTGCTCAAGTCTTACAAGTATAGCAGGTAATGTGCACTGATCTCTGTTTAAAGCTGACATAATGGACTTCATTACTGTGGCTGTTATAATGGCTGTGACTTAAACATACTGCTTCATCTGGTGCAAATGTAGTGACATGCAGTTGGTGTCAATGACAGAAGACTGTGTTTGTTATCTGGACTCTGGCAGCAAGCAGCTTGTGGTATTTAATGCATTATCAAGCCAACTGCTCATCAGTATTACATCAGGTCAGTGCTCACAACAAAAATACTATGCATATGAAAGGGACAATTGCAAACATGTTAATACTATAATGCTTGTATGGTAATGCACTTATTGCTATAGTATTTATGATCAAAAAGACTGTCTTACTATCAGAACAATCTCTGCTTATTATGACAGATAAGCCACAGATTGATATTTTCAAATTCCAGTCATGAGCACAATTCCTTTTCTAGAATACAAAAATATAACTCTGAGCACTATCTTTTAAACCAGATCATATGCCATAGAGCCAGCCCTGTTGCCCCTCTCATGAATTTGGGATCTACTGAAGCTGTAGGGTAAATTTGCCACCATCTGAGGGCAAATATGGATAGGTGATGGATATGCTTTCACAAGTAGGCCTTTATGACAAGGGCTAGATATAATAGGTTAGTAACGTTTTATATACACATGGAGGGAATAGTTAAAGTTCAGTATAAGCACCCTCACATATATTATAACTCAAATATTTATGATACTCTTTATGAATAATAGTCACAAATGACATTGCACTATAAACATAAACACTGAAAACACACATTTAGATTCCATTTGTGAGGGCCTGGGGGGAGGGGTCTCCTAAATGAGGGGGGGACAACTCACTGCAGTCCTGTAAGTGATGCTGAAGGAATCACCAGGACATAATAAATATGTATAATTTATGTTTGGACAGTACTATTTTAAACCTACTTGAATAATTGAAATAAATTTCTGCATCAATATTACTAACTACTGTTTATAACTTTGTATCAAACAGGTTATATAGTATATGTGGGGTGCCTATACTGCATTTGTCATGGGGATTGGCAGTGATACTGATCCACAGAGAAAGCTCAGCATTGCTGAGGGCCAGTGATGGCCAAATTGCCATACTTAAGTGCAAATCTCCAAGATTTGGGTGGAAAGTTCAGCTGTGGGAATGGGCTAGAACCAGGATCCAACCCACTCTCTTAGGCCAAGTATTTATTTATTCATCCTAATTAGTAAAGGGGCTGGTAATGATACCTCTATAGGCCACCAGGACCCCAATCCTTATCATATACCCTTAGTATGCAGAATTGGCAGCAATGATCATGACATTGCTACTGCTGGCCACATTTCTATATAAGTAAGCTGAATCCTAGGTTTACTAGGAATAAATATAGCCACATACTATCATTGTTTATCATTGTCAGTAACATTTGTTCCTGGGCAGCTCAGGCTTGCATATCAGCCAGCTGGCCCAGTGTTATTTCATTATTTCTTTTATTTATTACATGTATCCTATTTCCCCTCCTCCTGGAGGCGCCATGGGCTCTGCTCATCTGTCATGGAGATTGGCAGCACTGTGGTCCCACAGGGAAATCGTGGCAGTGCAGAGGGCTAGTGAAGACCGGGAGTGCAGGTAATAACAATAGTTGACTGCCATCTCCCAGGTTAGGTGTCAATTGACATTATTTTATTCACAGTGGACCAGCAATGGCGCCCCAATGGGCTACTGCGACCCAGATTTTATTATTTTGACACTTTACATTTAGTCTTAGTGGCCGTGCCTGGGCATTGCACTCAGCCAGTGAAGTTTTCCATATTTAAGCGGGTCAAATCCCAAGTTTATTGGAAACAATAGTCATATAATCGTCAAGTATACTATCACTTCATTCCTGGGCAGAGAGGGCATGCACATCAGCCAGCTGCACCAGCCATTAATTACCACTTCTATTTCATTTATTTCACTTATTTACTTAAAAGGAAGATATGGCATCCAACTGGCCATTTCCCGGAGGTGCCATGGACATATGTCATGGTGATCAGCGATATGCCAGGTTGACATGGGAATTTGACATGTCAAATAGCCAATGATGGACAGGATGTCAAGTAATAGCATTGTTTTATTGACATTTCCCAGGCTAGATGTCAATAGTGGGCCAGCAATGACACCCTAATGGGCTGCTGGGACCCCGATTCTATAGTTTGACACCACATTTAGTATTAGTAGCCATGCCTGGGCATTGCTCCCAGCTGGTGAAATTTCCTATATAAGTAACTCAAATTCCCCGTTTATTGGGATACAATATAGTCGTACAAAAACCCAAACATTATCTACATCTCGCATCTATCCCCACTTCACTAGGCAGTCTCGGGCCTAGCATACAGCCACTGCTCTAGTTATTACACATTATTTACATCTCCATAGCGATTTATTATATATATATTTAAAAATATGTCATCTGAAGAGCCCTCTCCCGGAGGTGACATGGGCGCAGCCCGTCAGCCATCCTCCCAAACCCCACCACACATAGCCCGAGAGCCGTCCCCTCTAACCCCACCACACATCAGTCGCTCCCTCAAACACCACCACAAGTCGCCCCCCAGATCTCGTATTGGGACAGTTGCTGCCAATCTCCGCGACAAAAATGCCAAAAAAAAGTTCAAAAAGACTTCGCCCTGATGAGAGTGGGATTCGAACCCACGCAGAGAAACCTCTACCAGGACCTGAACCTAGCGCCTTAGACCACTCGGCCATCTCACCCAACAATTCTTTTAGAGAATTCTGAAAATTATAAAACCACAAGTAACAATCTCCTCATACAACCTCAGGCCCCGCACAGGGCCTTCTGAACTCTCCCTAATACACGACATACACACGGACAACCCAGTAGCGATGCTCTCCAGCTTCAATTAGAACACCACAAACTCCCTTGGCTAGCATTAGCACCCCCCATCTCAAGTCGCCCCTTCAGGGGTAGTGCATCTGCACACATGTCAGGATCTCCTCCTCACCCTACACTCCAGCACTGCCTATGCAGGCTGCTTGGGCTGGCCTGGATGTCATTCGCACCAGGCGTTGGTGCTCCACCTTTCTACTCGTTTCCAATCAACAACTGTTCCTTGTTCATTACTTCGTGTGTAGTCTCCCTTTGATCTTACTCTCTCCCTCTCCCCTCTCTCATGAACATCGCCCTACAGCCCGCTGGCGCTTTGCCCAGTGCCAGCAGTCATGGTTGGTTGCTGCACGGACAACGTGTTCAGACCCGCTCCACACGCTGTGTGCGCCTGCCTAGCTGCAGTTCCGAATAAACCTCCCGATACTTGTATCATAATTTATATACTGATTGGCAGTTTCTAAAGAATCCATACACTTATATGACTTTTATGGCGGGTGCATGGCAATATCTGAATAACATTACAGATACTTAGATACCCGTACGAATGATTGCTTCGATGCGGTACTGCTACCAGCTTATAAGTCTAAGTGGTGGTTACTTAATAGCCGACTACTATGCTGGCCAATGGCGTGCGTAGTAATACTGAATATTTGTTATGTTGGATAGCAGCCTACGCTGGCATGAAGATGGTAAAGATAATATATAGAGGGATAATAGAGAGAAAATTGAGGCAAAAAGCAGACGCTAATTCTGATATCGATAACGTCTACTCAAGGGTGATGTGAGGTTGGCCTGGTTCAGGCTTTATTGGGATTACTGCCATTTCAAGCGTATCAAAAGCAAATAATCGCATCGAGGCAACTCCCAGAGGCCAGAGGCGCTGTGCAGTTGTCTGCACAGCATAGCTCGATATTTGGTTGGTGTACCTGATGCTATTCGTGTATGGCAATTGATATTCACGCACGGAAGTTATCGGGATTCGCAACAGCAATGCATGGCTTGGTCTGTACGTTGAACCGCAGTACTGGAAGGGTTATGTTGATATATTGCCCGTACATGTCAGGGTGTACGTTCAGCCTGCACCGATATGTGAGCGATAATCCACTCGACACTCTGCGCAAAGGTACTCGAATAAGCCCCCCAGCCGTGCGACCTGACGCATGCAGCTGGGGAGGTGGGGCACCTATAGCACACTCTTCCTCTGAAACACCCACTCGTAGAGGCTGAACGAGATGCCAGCCTGGATACCCTTGCGAAATACGCGCATCGAAATCCCCCGGAAAAAGCCAAGGACCCCCTCCTCCTGATATATTCGCGCGAATGCGCTGACCATGCTATTATACCTTTCGGGCTGCAGCTGGATGCGGGTTTTTGCCATATCAAATGGCTGCGTGATGTATGTAGCCATGGCGCCGCTTATTGCTCCTGTATTATGCACGCATATATACATA